GTTTATTATATTATATTATATTATATTTAAAAAAAAAAAAACTGATTTTTAAATTTTCAAACTATAAACATGATTTTTGAATTGGTGTAAACTAAACACCTTATTTATGAATTTTTCCCATTAATAAATGACAGTACAAACCATTTTTGTTGGGCTTAATTTAAGCCCCGTATGTTTCTGATTAAAATCTAAATCAAAGTCAAACAATCAATATTAACCATATTTTTCATGTGTCCCACAACTTTTCGACCACACTTTTCAGAAATTTCTATCACAATCTACTAAAAATCTAATTTTAATCTTCCTCGCTTTTCATTCTATTAATTGCGTTAAATTTACTTGTAGCCACCCAACTCTATGTTTGTTATCATCATGACCACTCAATTTGATTTTGTTTTATCATGATCACTCAACTTTATACTTAGTGTCACCATAGCCACCCAATTTGATTTTATTTCACAAATGTGATCCAATTTCATACAACGTTTCACTATGGTCACCTAATTTCATATAACATTTCAACATGGTCATTCAACTTCTTTTAATCATTTTCATTAATTTTGAAAGGGGTAAAACAGTAATTTTAAAAAAATTAAAATAAAAAGTTATTTTAGAAAAACAAACTTAAAACGTTTATTTTAAAATAAGCTTTTATTTTATTTTATTTTTCTAAATAACTTTTTTTTAAAAATAAAATTTTATTTTATTTTTAAAACTTTTTTTTAAAATAACTTTTTATTTTATTTTATTTTATTTTATTGTTTTAAGTAACTTTTTTAAAATAAGTTTCTATTTTTTTAAGTAAGTTTTTTAAAATTTTTTTAAAAAAATTATTTTATGTATATAATGCAAAATTACCATTTTACCACTTTTAAAATTAATGAAAATTGAAATAAGAAGTTGAGCGACCATGGTAAAATATTATATGAAATTGGGTGACTATAGTGAAATATTATGTGAAATTGGATAGTCTTGTTAAAATGAAATCAAATTCGGTGGCCATGGCGACACTAAATCTAAAGTTGAGTGGACATAATGAAACAAAATCAAATTGAGTGATCATGGTACACCAAGTATAAAGTTGGGTGGCCACCAGTGAATTTAACCCTCTGTTAATTTGATCATTGAATTCGTGTCATAATTTGTGTGATTCATACAAATTGTCCATGTTATTTTAAATTTTGCATTTGAGCACTTAGATTAATCAAATCTTGCGTGAAACATCATTGTCATCCATTTTTTCCGTTAAATCCTTGTAAACAACAAATGTATATAATGTTGATAAAAGATATAATAACTAAACATGAAGATACCAAACAATTATTCATAACTTAATCTTTATACGGGTGCCCTCCGAATTTTCACCCTTCTCCACTNGTACACTGGTTCCTCCGAGGTCTTGGCTCCGAATTTTCACCCTTCTCCACTGCGCAATTTGCTGCCACACCTCTCCCCTGCTTTACTGATTTAATCTCCAAGGCTGAAAGTTTTGAGCTTTTCCAAAAGTCTCTGGAGTGTTCGGGTTCTTCTCCAGCCGCTTTCACAGCCACAAATCGCAGCCCTTATCGATCGACCCAGAGGGGACTTTCCTCTCGCACTCCCCGCGGCCGCCACCATGGCTCTTCTTTTTCGAATCGGGGCAATGGACGCAGCTCTAGTCATTGGCGTCGCCCTCCCCGCTGCCAGATTTGCCGCACTGAGGGGCACTATGCTGATCGTTGCGATCAGCGGTACACTGGTCGTGACTCCTCTGCTCACCTTGCCGAGACTTTCCATCAATGTTGTTCTGTCTCTGCACATAAGGCCCCAGATTGGTACTTGGATACTGGGGCTTCGGCCCATATGACCACTGACCCATCTAATTTGGATCAATCCAATAGTTACACGGGTAAGGATTGTGTAATGGTGGGTAATGGTGCCTCTCTGCCCATAACCCACACGGGTATTATTTCTCCAAATCCCCATCTTCATTTACTAGATGTCTTAGTTGTTCCTCATCTCACTAAGAATCTTTTGTCCATTAGTAAATTAACTTCCGATTTTCCTTTATCTGTCACCTTTACTAATAATCTTTTCACTGTGCAGAATCGCCAAACGGGAAGGGTGGTGGCAACCGGTAAACGAGATGGCGGCTTATATGTGCTAGAACGTGGACACTCGGCTTTTCTTTCTGTTCTTAAAAATAAATCTCTTCATGCTTCTTATGATTTATGGCATGCTCGCCTCGGACATGTGAATCATTCTGTTATTTCTCTTTTAAATAAAAATGGTCATATTTCTCTTACATCTTTATTGCCTTCTCCAAAACTATGTAGTACATGTCAACTTGCGAAAAATCATCGTCTACCTTATTCACGTAATGAACGGCGATCGTCTAATGTGTTGGATTTAATTCATTGTGATATATGGGGTCCTTCCCCCGTCAAATCCACCTTAGGTTTTGCCTACTATATTCTCTTCATTGATGATTTTTCTCGCTTTACTTGGTTATATCCTTTGAAATTAAAATCTGATGCTTACAATGCTTTTTGTCAATTTCAAACATTTGTGGAAAATCAACATTCTACTCGTATAAAAAAATTTCAAAGCGATGGCGGTGCTGAATTCACCAGTCACCGTTTCCAAGATCTTCTTCGCACCTCTGGTATCCACCATCAACTCTCTTGTCCCTACACGCCTGCTCAAAATGGTCGTGCTGAAAGAAAACATCGTCATATTACCGAGACCGGTCTAGCCCTTCTCTTTCACTCTCACCTATCTCCTCGCTACTGGGTGGACGCATTCAGCACTGCAGCTTACATCATCAACCGATTGCCTACACCGCTTCTTGGAGGTAAGTCTCCTTTTGAGCTCCTCTATCATTCCCCCCTACTTATACGAATTTTCATCCCTTTGGTTGTCGTGTTTATCCTTACTTGCGTGATTATATGCCTCACAAACTTTCCCCGCGTAGCATTCCTTGCATTTTTCTGGGTTATAGTACCTCATATAAAGGTTTTCGTTGTCTTGATCCCACCACCTCTCGGCAATATATAACTCGACATGCCCAGTTTGATGAAAATCACTTTCCCTCACTCGATACATCTCAGTCCCAACCTATATCGTCTCTACATTTTTCTAATTTTTTAGAACCCAGCATGATGCCTACCCGCACACCTCCAGCTCCTCCCGAGCACCATTCCCCCCCTATTACTCCATCCGAATCTAACCCGTGTGCTATTTGTACTGACCCAGTTGATGAGTCTTTGCAGGGTACTGACTTTCATGCAGGTCCTTCTTCGCCGCACCCGGCCACAGGTATGCCTCCTGTTGAATCTGCCACCGATCCTCTGATTCCTGATCCCACTCCCGCTCATGCATTCCCGTTGGGTTCTCACCCTATGCTCACGCGAGCTAAGGCTGGTATTTTTAAAACTCGTCATCCGGCAAATCTTAGTATTTTGGGTTCCTCTGGTCTTCTCTCTGCCCTGCTTGTATCTACTGAGCCTAAAGGATTCCTCTCTGCTTCTAAAAATCCTGCTTGGCTTGCAGCCATGGATGACGAAGTTCGTGCCTTACAAAATAACCACACCTGGGTTTTGGTCCCGCGACCCGCTCACACAAACATTGTGGGTTCCAAATGGGTGTTTCGGACCAAATATTTGTCTGATGGATCTGTTGAGCGTCTCAAGGCTCGCCTTGTTGCCAAAGGCTATACACAAGTTCCCGGCCTTGACTATACTGACACCTTTAGCCCTGTTATCAAGGCCACCACTGTTCGTGTTGTACTTTCCATTGCTGTCACCAATAGATGGCCTCTTCGCCAACTTGATGTCAAGAATGCATTTCTCAATGGTACTCTTACTGAAAATGTTTATATGGAGCAGCCTCCAGGGTACATTGATCCTCGCTTTCCTAATCATGTCTGTCAACTTAAGAAAGCCCTCTACGGACTCAAACAAGCACCTCGTGCCTGGTTTCACCGCTTCAGCTCATTTCTTGTTCAGCTTGGCTTCTACTGCAGTCGTGCTGACACTTCTCTCTTTATTTTCCATAAACAGTCTGACATAATCTATTTGCTCCTTTATGTTGATGATATTATTGTTACTGGCAACAACTCATCTCTTATCCACAGCTTCACTTGCAAGCTCAATTCGGAGTTTGCCACTAAAGATTTGGGCCCTCTCAGTTATTTTCTTGGTCTTGAAGCCTTAACAACTATAGATGGTCTCTTCATCAGTCAGCTGAAATATGCCCGGGATATTCTTGCTCGAGCTCAGTTACTTGACAGCAAACCAGTCAACACTCCCATGGTTGTTGCGCAGCACCTATCTACTGACGGTACACCTTTTTCGAATCCCACTCTCTACAGGTCTCTGGTTGGTGCCCTCCAATATTTGACTATTACGCGGCCCGACCTTGCTTATGCTGTCAACTCTGTTAGTCAGTTTCTCCATGCTCCCACAGAGGATCATTTTCTTGCTGTTAAGCGTATTCTTCGTTATGTCAAGGGTACTATTCATTTTGGCCTTCTTTTTCGCCCATCTGCTAGTCCTGGTGCTTTGGTTGCTTACTCTGATGCAGATTGGGCGGGCTGCCCTGACACTCGTCGTTCTACCTCTGGCTACTCTGTTTATCTTGGTGACAACTTGGTTTCTTGGAGTGCCAAGAAACAACCCACTGTCTCCCGCTCTAGTTGTGAATCTGAGTATCGTGCTCTTGCGAATACTGCAGCTGAACTGCTTTGGCTTACACATCTCCTTCATGATCTCAAGGTCTCCATTCCGCAGCAGCCCCTTCTTTTATGCGACAACAAAAGTGCTATTTTCTTGAGTTCCAATCCCGTTTCTCACAAGCGGGCCAAGCATGTTGAGTTAGACTACCACTTCCTTCGTGAACTTGTTGTTGCTGGCACACTACGCACTCAGTATGTCCCCTCTCACCTACAGGTTGCTGACATCTTCACCAAGAGTATTCCTCGACCACTTTTTGACTTTTTCCGTTCCAAGCTTCACGTCTGTTCCAATCCGACGCTCGGCTTGCGGGGGGGTGTTGAGGATACTCTGCCTTCATCTAAGGCAGCTTGCCATATGTGCCTCCATCATAGAAGATTGCTTTGTATATTCTTAGATTGCTCTGTATATTCTATCCTNATTCTTAGATTGCTCTGTATATTCTTTCCTTTCACATTAATTGTAATTACTATATATATAAACCTACTCACCACTTCAACGTGTGGTGGTTTCATCAAACCTTCTCACAACAAATGTATATAATGTTTACCTAGTGGGTTATCATTTCTAGCCTCATAGTTATACATACATTTCTTTTACTTTCGAACAAACATTCACCGGCAACACTGTGTATCTTAAGGATATATTTGAATATTTGTAAATAAATATTACAAAATTGGAATGTGTAATTTCCCAAGCTATATCGGTAGAAATAGAGAGTTAAAATGTCCACCGTGGGTCAAGAGGAAGCCAGGCAATTTGCTTGCTCACAGCTACATTAAAGTCAAAGGCAAGGATGGGAATAAGTTCATTTTCAGGATCGAGATAATCTCGTAGCTGAATATGCTTATGGAAACTTATTGCTATCGATAATTAAGATATATCAATGCCATTACATACTTATTCCATGGTCGTCACCTCCAACCCGAGCAGTTTCTTGACGACCACGTACGAAAGCATCGCTTATCCAGAACGTGAAATACACAAGTATAAATTGAATATGCCAAGAAAGCATGGCATTGTGTTCTAGAGGCAGACTATGCCTTTAGTAGGTGGAAGAACAATTTTACGAAACTTAAGAGTGTTGTTTTGGTCTATTAAGATGAAGAAGTTTTAAAAAAAGGTAAAGCCCAAAACCTAAGCTTTGATATCTTTTTACACATTTACGTTATGATACCAAATTAATATTATAAAAAATGAGGTGCAAAATACCCATAAGATTTTGCAACACCAATCTGATAAATGATATTATTACCCCTCAAATCCAAAATCCCAGGTCAGATCGCCACGTAGACAGCCACGTAAGCAGCAGTCAGCATGGATAGTCATGCAAGGGATATTGAGGCTGGTCGGGGTGCCTCGATTCTGGGGATAGTAGTGGGCATGACGAAATAGCTGGGGCAGCCAAAATTCAATCCTACGTGGAATGAAGCCACGTGGCACAACACGTGGGCAGACAGTCAAACACACCCGTCAAAAGAAGACCCAGCAGACCAACCACAGCAGTAAAGAAGAATAGGCCGAGCCCTTCACACTTCTTCGAAGGATGAAGCTGCGTGATGTTGGATGAGGACCTCAGATCTCTCCGAAGCTGTCTCCAACTCATCCGAGGCTCATGAAGCCAACGCTGCCTTTGGAAATAGATTTGAAGATCTATTAGAAATGATTAACATAAAACTTGTAATAAAGTTTGTTAGTATGTCAGCCTATTGTATAGGGCGACGACCCTTTATCAATGTATTAATTATATGAATAAACAGTAATGTGAAGCTTTAGTTAGGGAGATGAGGTCACATGGTTCCGATCCAACGGTCACCACGTCGACCAATACATTATAAATAGGTCATCTTTGTAATTAAATAGGTAATGGACGACAAAGAAAAGAGAACTAACCTTATATTAACAATATACACTAGAACTCTTAAAGAAACCATAAG